AATTTACTAAAAATTAACTCTTTTATAAGATAGCATTTTCTGTATTTCTTGTAACATTTTTTTTAAGGAGATACATATGGCAATAATTACAGTTCAAATTCAAATAATAATATGCTTATATACAATAAGTAAATATGATATATATTATTTTCATTTATAAGAAAATTTTTTGAATATAGCAAAAAATAAATTCGTCTTTTGCTATATTTAATATGGTATACATGATTTTACCTACCTCTTTCCATGTTTTTACAGACTTGCCGGCTTTTACATGTTAATTTCCGATATGTACAAATATTTAGTGAAGTGCATGATTTTATTTTACATGCTGGTTCCGTGTCTATTCCATGTGTGTCTGTATATCTCCATGTTTTGCTACATGTATTTACATACCTTTGCGTGTGCCCTTTTCTTATAGGGTGTGTATTTGCCATTATTTTTATATAAAATGTAACTATTCAAAATAAAATAAAATGCGTATGTTCCAATTTGGAACGCAGATCACTTTTGTCAAGAACAATTTAATCAACCGTAATGTAGCCCGTGATGGGCCATGATCGTACTTTGATTCATATAATTATACGAAAATTACTATTTATCAGCCGTGATGATGAGCCATAATAATTACATAAATGAAATCAAGATTAAAGATATACACAAGTTTTATTAGCGGAGCTTCAGATAAATGTCAAACTATAACTATATTAAAAATACTATATTTTTTCACAAGAATGAGCGTGAAGTTTATATTACGGGTGCAATGAGATGTGTGTATTAAAATTTTTATTGAACACTAAAAACCATTATTTTTTCACTAATTCCTTAAACTGTGGTGTTCCCAGTGTAGTCCGACACCAATTAGTTACTTCTGCAAAACTATGTATATCTTCTTTCTTTTTTCTAATATCGTCACAAAATCTTTGTACTTCATACTTATATTTCTCCTGGGTTTTACAATATTACTGGTTAGTTTTAAAAATAATTATGTCAAAAAAAAAATATTGAAAACATTAATTTAAGCGTACAGCAAATGTGAACAAATTGTCAATGCCATTAATGAATTGTTCACAGGTTTGAAAGGACTTGGGAAGTTCAGTCTCGCCAATATCGAACATAATATAGAGTCCTGAAGCAGTCAAAACCATGATATAGCCTGTCCATACTGTCACTACCATGCCATACATATGTGAATACACAAACAATTTAGAAACAACATGATATGATTATGTGGTGAATACTTACCAATTGTTTGCTATGCGAAAGTCATATGATTCTTTCCTGTCTTCTTAATGAGAATATCAAGGGCATCCTTCATAAAAATGCCTAGTCTGATAAGATCCATGTTGTTTTTCTTTATGTTATTGTTTTTTTCCTTCTCCTGTAATCTCTCCAAACATCATTTCGTATTTAGATTTGTTGTTATTTACAACATTGCCGATCATATCTGGTTGCTTTGCTCGTGAAGAATCTAAATTGGCAAGTTTACAGACTTTTGCGCTCATACTGGCAGTGTTTGGCCATATGACTGGATGTATTGAAGCATCATGTAAGAAGGAACGCAAATACCGGACTAATGATGTTGACAGTCAGAGTGCCCTCACTGAGAAGGTCTTTCAGTGGCTTAATAGGAATATTTTTCGTTCTGAGATAGATAAAAAGATTATAACCAGTTGAACATATAGGAGATAAAAAATGCCATAAGTTGAACTTACAGCTGTAAAAAGACAAACCACATTCTTTTGAACTTTTTCTGGTCAATTGGATCATCAAAAGACTTTGTGAATAATTGTTCTAAAGTTTTTTCTGCTTTTTTCGGCTCGAGATCTTCATCAAGTGCAATCTAATACATTAAAAACCACCATATGAAAAAAATTATGATAAGTGACTTTTCGTAAAAATAGTACACTAATACGTTATCTCAATGCATTCTCGAAATATCGCCTTTACGCTTTGTGCGACTTTGTTTTTAATTATATATGTATTGCGTATATGTTTACGAAAATCTACTAGAGTATTACCTAAAAATTGTTCAATCTGCAGATCCATGAAGTTATCAGCTTGTAATAATAAAATATGAGATAAGCTCCTAATATTTTCAAATAAATATTGTTAGCCTGATAATTCATACAAGAGAATTTATTCTCAAAATTCAAACTTACAATATCTCATGGTA